GCAGCATCATAGGAGCAGAGAGGCTGACGTTTTGGGTCTAGACCCTTTTCTGATGAAGGGTCTAGGCCCGAAACGTCAGCCTCTCTGCTCCTATGATGCTGCTTGGCCTGCTGTGTTCATCCAGCCCTGCACCTTGTTGTCTCGGATCCTCCAGCATCTGCAGTTCCTACTATCTCTGATAGGTATAGTCAGTAAGTTTGCAGATGACACCAAAATTGTTGGCATAGTGGATAGCAATAAAGGTTGCCTCAAAGTACAACAGGACCTCGATCGGATGGGCTAAGGAGTGGCAGATGGAGTTTAACTTAGAAAAATGTGAGGTGCTGCATTTTGGAAAGGCAAATCAGGACAGGACTAACACACTTAATGGTAAGGGCCTGGGGAGTGTTGCTGAACAAAGAGATCTTGGAGTGCAGGTTCATTTTTCCTTGAAGGATGAGTTGCAAGTAGACAGGATAGCGAAGGCACCATTTGGTATGCTTGCCTTTATTTGTCAGTTCATTGAGTATATGGGTTGGGAGGTCATGTTGCAGCTGTCCAGGACATTGATTAGGCCACTTACAGAATACTGCATACAATTCTGGTCTCCCTGCTACCAGAAAAATATTGTGAAACTTGAAAAGGGTTCGGAAAAGATTTACTAGGATGTTGCCAGGGTTGGAGAGTTTGAGCTACAGGGAAAGGCTGGATCTATTTTCTCAGGAGCATGGGAGCCTGAGGGGTGATCTTCGAGGTTTATAAAATCAAGAGGGACATGGACAGAGTGAATAGACAAGGTCTTTTCCCCAGGGTGGGGAGTCCAGAGCTAGAGGGCAGGTGGGAGGGGAAAGATTTAAAAGAGACCTAAAAGGGGTAAGTTTTTCCACGCAGAGGGTGGTAACATGTATGGAATGAGCTGCCAGAGGAGGTCATGGAGGCTCATACAATCACAACATTTAGAAGATATCTAGATGGGTATATGAATAGGAAGGGTTTAGAGGGACATGGGCCATATAGGACTAGATTTATTTAGGATAGCTGGTCAGCATGGAGAAGTTAGACCGAAGTTTCTGTTTCCATCTGTACAGCTCTATGACTAACTCAGCGGTCTACTGGAAAGATTGTTGAGCTGAAAATGTAGCTTTAGCTCCCCAGGGTTTCCATTACAAAGCAAAGAGGTAAGTGTAAAAGTATTAGCACCCATTTTAACATAATAGATTGTGAGGTTCTCTTTTATCCAGGACTTAGTGGAATAGATAGTTCATCACCAGCAATTTGTGTTAGCTTTAGCTGGAATGGCTATACTGTGTTGGGAGTTGACGAGCACCTGGAAATAAAATATATGATCACTCTTGGCCACTGAGCACAACAAGATTGCCCATTTTGAAAATCAATAATTCTTTTTTTTAAAAAAAAAAAGAGAATGCAGCTGTTCTTCCCTTCTAAATTTCACCTTTAGCCATGAAACCATCCTCACAGAGCCACTTGTTGGAAAACGGCAGGGCTGGTTCTCAGATGGTCAAGCAGTAGCACAGCAGAGTATCGGATGTGAATCAGGAGCTGGTCTACAGGGTGCATTCCATTTTGCAATGATTTCATCCTGTGGGTCCAAGAAAGACAGCTGCACAAGACATGGCAGGGCAATAGTCAGGGCAGGGACTGGCATTTAAAGCAGGAGAAAGAGAGACATACACCAACCATTCCATTCCATCCGTAATGTCAAACTAAAACAGTCCCAACTGACTGCGCTTGGCCCATATCCCTCCAAACCTTACATATTCATATACTTATCCAAATGTCTTTTAAATGGTGTAATTGTACCCACATCCACCACTTCCACTGGAAGTTCATTCCACGCACGAACCACTAAAAAAAAAAGTACCCCCCCCAAAAATGTCTTTTTCTGAAGAAAACCCTTTGTCCTCTCACCTTAGAAATATGCCCTCAGTCTTGAAATTCCCCACCCTAGAAAAGACACCTGCCATTCACATTTTCTATACCCCTCATGATCTTTTTAAACCTCTATAAAGATCACCCCTCAGCCTTTTGTGCTCCAGTGAAAAAAATTCCCAGCCTATCCTTATAACTCAAACCCTCCAGTCCTGGCAACATGCTGGTAGATCTCTTCTAAGCCCTCTCCAATTTAATATCCTTTCTGTAGCAGGGCGACCAGAACTGGTCACAGTATTCCAGAAGAGGCTTCAGCAACATCCTGTAAACTTGACATAATGTCCCAACGCCCACACTCAAGGGACTGAGCAACAAAGGCAAACATGCTAAATGTCTTCTTAACTACCCTCTCTATACGTGATGCAAAAGCAGGTTGGAGGGAAAACAAAAAGTAGTAGGAGGAGGATTTCTGGATGTTCCAGGAGAGAGTAGGAAGCTGGAACAGGATAACATTGGGAGGATCAAGAGGGATGGGAAGAAAGAGATGACAAAAAGGAAGGGTGGATGCAGTTGGATGGGCTTCAGCTGCAGAGCTGAAGTATTAACTATCTATGAACATTGATAAGAAGCTGTTAGCTTGCTGGAGATCAGGTGCAACTAGCAATCTCTCTTCACAGGAGGCAGGGGAGAGAGTGTGTCTGGAGAGGAGTTCTGGGTATGGTCCGCGGGAGGTTTAAACATGCCCATTGGTTGGCCAAATTAAAACTCAAAACAAGCAACACACTCCTTAAGATACACAGCCCCTGGGAGGGGCCATGCACAATACAATCACCAAAAAGATACATTGACTCATCCGAGATAGTAGGAACTGCAGATGCTGGAGAATCTGAGATAACAAGGTGTAGAGCTGGATGAACACAGCAGACCAAGCAGCATCAGAGGAGCCTAGACCCTTCTTCAGAAATGGGGGAGGGGAAGGGGGTTCTGAAATAAATAGGGATAGAGGGGGAGGTGGATAG